TGAAAACACGACAGTAGTTTTTTAATATGTTTGTAAAATATGTAACACATAGTACATAAAAACTACATACGATATCAACGGAAATAGCCTAAGCTACAATAAAGATCCAAAGTTTAGAAAAAGCGCAGAGAGTAAATTTAAACGTTATGTTATACTATCAAAGTTACCCGCATTATCAAAGATACCCCGTTTTACGGTACATATTTTCTTTGATTGGTAAAAAATCATCTTAGAAATGAACCTCACACGGGTAAGAGTGTAAAATAGTAAATAAATATAAATAGTAAAATTATTCAAAAATATCAAAGAAATTGATCATTGTGCATTTAAGTTTGTTTTCATCAAGTTTGATAAAACCAGCTACATAAACAATAGTTTTCGTTCGATTTTATTGGTAAACATGGTTTATTTGTTATGAAGTGAAACAGCTTTGCTATGTTATGTATTGAAACAGCTGCTGCTAGCATCATTAATAATCAAAAGGCTATGTTTATAAACAAGAATTGGTTGACACTCTTGCCCCATTGCAGTTAAAAAAAATTTGTGAGAACATTTAAAAAAAAAATCGTAAAAAACTATTGACGAGAAATAAATTGCATTACATTGCTGATTTATGAAGGCAATGCTATGAACTTACAGTACAGTGTACAAACTCCTATAAATATCCACTATTTGGCATATATAGGACGTACAATTTTTAGGTGGCACTCTTGCCCCACCACTATGCAGCCTAAAAGGCGAAATAATGTTCCAATGGTAAGTAAGGTGTTCATCACAAATTTCTGAGGTCATTTATTATTATCAAAGCCATCACACCACAAAGTAAAGCAAGTTGGTGAAAATCTGCTATCGTACACGTTGACCTTTATTTTTGAACATCATTTAATGATAATAGAAGATAATTAGAACATTTGTTTTGGTTTTATATTTTTACTGGCTTACCTTGTTATTTTGACTTGTGACCTATTTTTTTAAGCCATTTCATGAAAACGAAATTAATATGAATATTAATATATCAAACAGTAGCCCTATAATCCAATGCGAGAACACTTGGACGATACAAACCATCAACCTTGGGACAAACGGCTTAATTTCCTTCCGAAGAAAGGCGAAACCAGAGATATTTCTTCGAATACCGTAACGACTGATATGAGAGGCAGCGCTCCGCCTATATCTAATAAATGTCTGGTTCTAGGCTCACTCAGTTCGTTGTGTTTTTCTGTTGGTTTCTGAAAAAAATTGTAGAATTCAGGGACAACAGGTGATTGCGTCCCGAGCAAAGTCCAACATGTCAGGATCAAATTGAAATCACAATTTGATTTCAGTTTACGCATTTGGAACATCAAATTGAATATTCGTATTGTTATCAACAGGAAAAATGTACATCAAATTGTGTTTGCTCTCACTGATAGCAGAATCAGTTTTCAATTTGATGCCACAGAAAGATTGTTTTGCTCTCCATTTTGATATTTTATCCGTTAAAACGACCAACTGCAAACTGAGTAATCATTATCTGCAACATCACAACATCAAATTTAGTTCTCAAATTTGATCGCAGATTTTGCTAGGGTAAGGTCTCGTTCATTAGGGAATGATGTTAACAAAATGAATGAATGAAGCTGCATCATGAATGAAGCCGCAAATAAACCGAGGGGATATCGATGAAAAAATCGAGGAATGGCTAATAAAATATCTTGTCAATTTTCTATACACTTTTTGACGTTTAATCGCCTTTCTCTATTTAGCACAAATGAACGGTTTGTTTTCCCATTAATCTGTTTCCCTCTTGCTCTCACTTGCTCGATTGTAGTGTGTAGTAATGTGCACCGATTAAACATCAAAAAGCACTATTGCCTTCTTCCACAAGCTAAAAGTGGAACATAACCGTCGTACATACAGTATATGCATACATATACAAGAACCCTAGGTCACGAAAGCATCAATCAATGGAAACTGATATTTCCCTGTATCTACATTGGCCACGTACTGCACGACAACCAGTCGAGCATGTATGAAAATGTGGCAAAACAGTCGCATCTCACCGGTTCTACCTGGAATAATACACGATCCAGAGAAACCGTTGACAGTCTTATGAAATGAAAGTTTTAACTATTATCGTTTTCGTTTTTGCTGTGTTGCAACGCGCACCGCCCCAGTGGCGCCAACAAGCACGAGTTATCATTGACAGCTCAACTCATTTGATCGCAAACAAACGTAAACCCGACATCTACACCCTGAATAAATTTGGTGTACGGTGGGGAAAACCGGCAAAAACGAAAACAACATTATGATAATATTACGTTGTGTATCGTTGTTTGCTGAAGTTGTCCGAGTAGAGGAATTTGAATAACTAGCAAAATCACAGGCACAGAGAATGCAAAAAAATAGAAGGGAAGCGGCAAGGTTAAGACGTCGTTCAATGTGCAACGCGCTGTGCAGTTTACAATACATTGCTTATGACGTCATTGGGAAGGTTTTTGTTCGCTTTCAGGTTCAGGCGTGCAATACTCGTAGTACAACGAACGACAACTAAGATCACGGTTTTCGAAAATAGTAACTGTCGCCACAGTGTAAAACTGGCTAACTCGTTCTTCGATCAGATTAACTCAGAGAGTGGGTTTTAGAAATTAATCATACAACTAAGTAAAAGTAACTTTCTCTCTGAATTAGTTTGATCGACCGTAATAATAACAGTCGTGTTAAGTACTTGGCACTGATGGAGTCTGCAAGCAGTAGATGAAATTCGCGTATCTGTCAAAAGAATTATAACTTAATTAAAAAGAAATAATTTACGTTACGTTAGTCACAGCTGCTGTGACTCGATGGAGACGCATTGTGAACGACCTTGCGTCTTCATCGTTTCCATGCACGTGTGGGTAAATATTGCGGAAAATGATTTTTTATTAAAAAAAAATTGTATCTCCAAAACCACTTCTCCGACATCGCTAATTATTTAAAATCTTATGTAAAATTAAATGATCTTTCAATTAAAAATACTAAAATAAGAAGTTGTTGAAGCCCTCGCAAGCGGCACCGGCGGTGTAGTGGTAAGCGTGATTACCTCTCACCCCAGCAGGCCTGGGTTCAATCCCAGTCGGCGCCGCCGGGATGTTCTGAGGCATAACATCTCTGATCACGCCTTCCTTCGGGAGGGAAGTAAAGCCGTTGGTCCCCGGTTCATGAGTGGATGGGTCGATAGGTAGGGTCCAGGTGTGGGAGCTGCCTATCTGGCGTCGGTAGCATTGGTGCTCAGCACGAAAAATAAGATCGACGGAAAACAAATCCAAGGAAAAAAAAAAGAAGCCCTCGTAGTGAAAACGAAGAAAAAGCATTTGTAACGTATTTTTTTCATACAAAATCAAATATCTCTGAGTGTTTCATATTTTTGCTTAGAACAAAAATTTTTGAAAAAAGGCATTTTTGAAAAAAAAAATAGATTTTTCGGACCACCCTAACACGCACCCTTATGGCGGAATAAAAAATACGAGTCTAATATTTTTTTATAAGGAAGAACTATACCAATTTTCATGAAATTCTGAGACTCACTATACCTTTTTTCTATGGAATTGCTGTATATATATATATATATATATTTTTTTTTTCCTTTGGTTTGTTTTTTCCGTCGATCTTGTTTTCCGTGCTGAGCACCAATGCTACCGACGTGCAGGAAGGCAGCTCCCACACCTGGACCCTACCTATCGACAAATCAACTCATGAACCGGGGACCAATGGCTTTACTTCCCGTGATCAGAGATGTTATGCCTCAGAACATCCCGGCGGCGCCGACTGGGATTGAACCCAGGCCTGCTGGGGTGAGAGGGACTGTATATATATAAAATATAATATAATACATTTATACATAGGTATATGGCGAATGTTTCCATCGGTTTTAGCCCTTTCAGAAGGGATTTACGTTATGTTGTATGGGGTTTAAAAGAGGAAGTGAACCGAATACCAAATGCTACCAGCAATATAGGATTTCCTCTCGCGAATCAGGCAACACACAATCAAAGTGTAGAAGCGTAACCTGATAGTCAAAGTAGACATGTGAAGAGTCGTAAAAATCGACATACTACCTGGATGGCCTCCCAGTTAGCGGCAAGAATCGATGGATGGTTTCATAAAGCTCTGTCAAAGAATGGTTCTCTACATGTTTCCATCATATATGATTTTTTTGGAAATATTTCCAAAGACGTTAGCAGTTCATATCTGGAATAATTTCGCTGCAGCATGAATAATATCACGCTTCAGTTCACTTTTGAAAATATATGTACAAACTGAATAAATAATTAGACGAAGTAAAAGGCTGGCTGCACAAGAATATTACTTCGTTCGTTTTGTACGTTACTACCAAGAACGTGAATAAAGAAGAATAATAACTATAGACCGGAAATTTCACGATCAACTGCAACGAAACGAAAACGATTTTTCCTTCGTTTAAGCGCGGTGGTATCCCTTATGCGCCACGTCACGTGCGCATTTTCTCGGTTCGAATTTTGAGTCACATATACCACCAACAGCCAGAGCGTTCGTTTAGTGGTAGGCTGCTACTGGCGGGAACAAGCGGAATATCTTTATCAGTGTCAATGCCGCCAACGTAGTCGAACCCCTCGTATACCAGTCGAGCATGGTTTGATATCCGGAGCAAAAACGTATAAAAGGGAAGATACACACTACTAACTATACCCGGTTCTCGGAGAATGAAACGGAAGAAAAGGGATTAAACATGGCAGGTTCTATTTAAAATGTAATCTTCTTTGTCACTGCAGCCACAATAGGAATCACTTTTATGCAATTTCCTTTATTCTTGGCGTTGGTTGTTCTTTCCGTTCTACTGTACTATACATAATACATAATGCGAAGAGGAATCCTTACACCACCGAACCAATCTCGTTTGAGCGCGTAAAGGAAGCACATTCTCATGAACTAGAACGATCTAATCGAATAAATTGCATCATAAGTTTGCGAACTGCGGAGACAACCAGTATCAATCAAGATCTGCTATATAAACCTACCTACAGAAATAATCCTCCTAAAATGCAGTTATTTTTCAACTTACCGGGTGATCGCGATGTGCTTTCATTTGTGTCAAGCCATGCTTCCACAATCAACGTAAAGGTGCCCTGCAAAGCAAAAAAAAATATGAATGATGACGAATTGTGCAGTTTACGGGGGTGTTGTGTTTGTCACAAGCATGTTACACGTCTAAGCGCGCCGATTTCTCTGTATTTATTTATGAAATAAATCATCCAATCCAATTGAAAAAGAAGTATGTACTGCTGAGCTGCGCACTGGAGTGAACGGCATATTATTGAACATTTCAATTTCAATTACACCTTCACAGAAGAGCAAGGCACCGCCGTCGCTGTTAAAGACGACAACAACTCGTATAGTTTGGCTTGTACAGTTATTGGTGTCACGTGGAGGTGGAGTATTCATCTCTCTATCTTTCCAATAGGTGTGTTAGAGTTTCATCAATTGAATAAAATGCTGTGTATTGCTTAAGCAGTCCATAGTTGATGTACCGTAAAACGGGGTAACATTGATAGTTTTTTGAAGTATATTTTAAATATTTTTTACAGCAATGAATGTTTTTTTTGTTACAAATTTTATTTCTATGAAACAAGTGCTGTGGATCCTAGAGTCAATTCGTTAGTAATATGTTTAACGGAAATTATTGCATTTGTACTATTTTTTTAGTCTTATGACCAAAAATCAGTATTTTGATTTGGGGTTACTTTGTTAATGCTTGATGAATGTAGAAAAATATCTGTGATACTCACAATTTAGTTAAAACAATATGAAACTTTGAATGAGTATATATTCAGAAAACATCATAAGCAATAAGAAGACAACATATAACGGAAATGCATTTCATAAAAAGCACTCAAACCAGCTTTTTCAAACAGGCGAAAAACAAGAAAATTGTTTTTTACTATGTTTGGATAACATGTACCACATACTTCATAAAAACTGTATAGGATATAAAGGGAAATACCCTAAGCTACAATAAGGAACCAATGTTTCCAATTCGGAAATAGTGCAGAGAGTACATTAAATCTTTATATTCTACTATCAAAGTTACTTGCATTATCAAAGATACCCCTTTTTACGGTACTCGATTTCTTTATTTCCTGTTACAGAGGGATGGAGGGTTATCTCAATATGGCAGAGAGAAAAAACGCATCAAAGAGATAAAATTGCAGGTATAGGGGGAATGGCTCTAATGGGCCCTTCACTAAAAATCTGCTTTTAATCAATTTTATCTAGATTAACACGTCATTGGGACGGTACTAATGGATATTTTTGGTCACTATTGAAAATTTAGTCGATTGATGAATTTATGTATAGGCCCCAATTAGGGGCATTTAGGCCAACATTACATTCATTTCCCCTACCTAATACAAATTGATAAACTACTGCAATAACAAAATGGGTCCCTTGAGAGCAAACTGTGTAGAAATAACACTTTTAAAACGACTACTCGGTGTAATTCTATTAATAGGTCAGGATATTTTCATATACATTTTTAATTTTGATAATTTGTTATTACAAAAATATAAAATGTAAATCTTATCACGTGTAAACAAAATTCAAGTAAATTATGTTTCTTCGTAGACGAGCATGATACCCACTTTCAAAGTTGTTACCCGAAATGTACCATTCCGGGAAAAAAATAACCGGATAGCATCATTTTGCGGATTTAATAAAAAAAAAACAACGGAATAATTCAATGCTGCGCCTGCCCATACAGCGAACTAATTATAGCATGTTCAGCGCAATCGGTGGTTTACAGTGACTCTTCAATAGGGTCTCCGCACTATTTGACTTTGACCTGACTCGCCAGCTGCTTCGCAGAAGGTTTAGTTCGTTTTCTTTTCTAGATCGGTTTAGTTTGTCTAGCAATGTTTCTTTTTTTTACGAGATGACTATTGGCTGATTGATGTTTAGTTTTAGTACTTTTCATGTTTAGTTTAGGTTACATCATTGGGGCCAATGACGCCTGTTGATGTTTAGTCATAAATAAATAAATAAATAAATAAACACCAGAAAGGTCAGGAATTCGATTAACGAGAAGTAACCGACTGCTAGAAGGTTATCTACCAGGTTAGACGCAACTGCAAAGAAGAAGAATGTGTACGAAATTCAAAATGTATAAAAAATGTACACAAATAATATATATTCAAGTGTGCACAAGAGCACCTACTACAAGCAAAAATGTGGGAGACTTGACACCTGTTTTTTTTTCTTCATTTCTCTTCTATGCATTTGTCTATACCTACTTCTCTTACGAACTTACATACTGGTTTGAATCGAACGGTATTTAAGCGGACACGCGTGTACGTGCAACAAAACCACTTTTCCAATGATTTGAAAAGTACGCTTACGTATCTTGAAAGATCATTGTTTCGTCGAGTTTTAAACAGCTATTCAATTGATCTACCTATGCATGAAAAAAGGAAGCTGAAGCCATAAAATTGTTCATTGAACAAGATGATAGAAAAATATACTTTCATACAATTCAGTTGCTTGACGTGCGCGTCTTTTCAATAAACATGGTAGTGTAAGGTGGGATAAAATGGGGTCATCTACTTTTTTTTTGTCAACATCAACAGGCCTGATGCTGGTTTTAAAAAGCAAACCATCAATATGATTGCACTGAACTGTATATCCAGATCAAAATGACAGCAAATCGAAATCATAATTTGATATCAGTTTACGCGATTGACAAATTTTACGATACTGTATGAACAGAGCTCTACAGTGCCGTAGTATTTGCGATAATCAATTTTTTATGAACATTGTATATTAGACTAATGTACAATATGAAATTTTCGCTCTGCAGTGCTTAAACGGTTGCAAATCGGGCCCTAATTAACCTTCCCAATTATAGACTCATTTGGTTAAAAACTGACTATGTTAAAAATTATTTGAAGTTTGTATGGGAATATTCTTTTCTTTTATTCCCTTCTACACTTTTTCTATATTGCTCTTGAAGAAGCTTGGAAGCTATTCCTGTAGAAGATTTTCTCACTTATAACTTTGCTGAAGATTGTTCTTTAGTCAAACAACAAATGAAATAGTTATTAATAATTCAAGAGATTGATAATCTTCTGCTATGAACAAGCAACTGCTTTGTGGGCAACACTGTATTGTGCAGTGTGACATAGTAACCATGATTTTTTGCTCTATTTCACGCGCCAAAAACGCCAATACTGACTCAACTGCTATTGAGCATAATCATAAAACATCAGTGACTTGAACCATTAATAACTTTAGTTCCTTACATTTCTGCCTTCAGCAAAGTTGTAGCTGAGAAAATTTCATACCAGCGTAGCAAACAATTTTTTTTTGTAGAGCAATATGGTGAATTGCTCGAAGGATATGTACAACAAGTTTGCTTTTCCTATAGTAATCTCCATATGAATTTCAAATATTTTGTGCACCGTCAGTTTATATTCAAATTAATACCTGATCAGGACCTGTTTTGAAGCCGATTGAGCACTGCGAAGCAAAAATTTCAAATGTTGCATTGGATATCAGTTCAGTTGAGATGAAGCATGCAATCTTGGATTTCCTCACACCATTTCACAGATGCCGACAAGTGGGTTTGTTTAGTAAACATAATTCGTTATGAGAAGCACAAAACAACAAGTACAGTTTATTTTCCGAAAATAAATATACATAAACCATGGCTTGTTTATTTGAACATTTAAAAATCGATAAACTCTGGGAAGATTTTTTTTTCATATTTTGTTATTATTAAAAAGGAAATCGACGAATTAATAGAAATTAATGCAAAGAATCAATCAACGCGTTTCCTTATATATTACTTTGCGCTTACTGTAGAACGGGGTAATATTGATAGTTTTTTAAGCATATTCTAAATATTTTATACGTCAATTTATGTTTCTCAGATTTGATTTTTTTTAAATCCTAGAGTCAATTCTTTAGTAATATGTTTAACGAAAATTAATGCTTTTACATTATGTTTTTAGTCTTGTGACCGAACATCAGTATTTTGATTTGGGGTTACTTTGATAATGCTAGATGAATGTAGAAAAACATGCGTGAATCTCAAACAATTTAGTTCAAGAAATATTAAACTTTGAATGAGTATATAATCAGAAACACCTTAAGCAATAATAATAAAACATTGAATTTGTGATGGCTATATCAGAAACACATTTCATAAGTGAGTTGAGTTTGAGTGCTTTTTCAAACAGGCAAAAAGCAAGAAAATAGTTGTTCAATATGTTTGGCAAACATCACAGCTTTCATCGTGATGGGCGAAATGCAGAAGCGCGTGATCGGTTGGTGGCCGATCGACGAAAGAATGTGCATGTTGAGGATCAAGGGCCGATTCTTCAACTTTAGCATAATCAACGTGCACAGCCCTCACTCCGGAAGCACTGATGATGACAAGGACGCATTTTACGCGCAGCTCGACCGCGAGTACGATCGCTGCCCAAGCCACGACGTCAAGATCATCATAGGAGACCTAAACGCTCAGGTAGGCCAGAAGGAGGAATTCAGACCGACGATTGGAAAGTTCAGCGCCCACCAGCTGACGAACGGGAACGGCCTACGACTCATCGATTTCGCCGCCTCCAAGAACATGGCCATACGTAGCACCTTCTTCCAACACAGCCTCCCCTATCGTTACACTTGGAGATACCACAGCAGACGGAATCACAAATCGACCACGTTCTGATTGATGGACGGCACTTCTCCGACATTATCGACGTCAGGACCTATCGTGGCGCTAACATCGACTGTGACCACTACCTGGTGATGGTCAAACTGCGCCCAAAACTTTTCGTCATCAACAATGTACGGTACCGACGCCCGCTACGGTACAACCTAGAGCGACTGAAGCAACCGGATGTCGCCTTAGCATACGCGCAGAATCTCGAGGCAGCGTTGCCAGAGGAGGGCGAGCTTGATGTGCCTCCTCTAGAGGACTGCTGCAGTCATCACCGATGCAGCCGAGAGCACCATCGGGTAAGAAGTCAACGGAATGAATGGTTCGACGAGGAGTGCAGAGCGATTTTGGAGGAGAAGAACGCAGCGCGGGTGGTAATGCTGCAGCATGGAACCCGACAGAACGTGGAACGGTATA